CGGTTTAGTTCTTAGTTGGTTGGGCTTTTAATCGTTTCTATTGGCTAAAGACCGTTTTCGTTTGGATTGGTTAATCAACATTTTTAATCGCTATCAAATGGGATGGATTTGATTGACTTTTTCCAGACAATCGCTATCAAGATCACCGAGACAGATCAACTAAAACCGGTTGTGTTTCAAATACTTGGCTGGTTTCCACGCTGTTTACACTCCAGTTGATTGAATGACTAGGCTTAACCCCATTATCCCAGAACTTCTTGTTTACGACGTCATATCTACATACAAATTCTCCTTTCTCGTCCACTTACGATTACTTTAGAACTAGTTAAGAGAATTTAATTCTGCGAAAGTTCCCTATGATATTTCAAATCCCTGTTCTCGTGAAATAATCGCATACAAATCAAATTGATTTTTAATAATGCCCCCCCACTCCCCACAGTGATCAGTTTTTCAATTCTTAATATCCACATATATTCAGACGAGAATTAAGATTTTAATCGTCATTAGTCACCTGCTTATTAATAAAAAATATAACGACCGTTCTGACATTGTGCAAGTATATATTAAGAAAATTTAAGAAAATCAGATATATTAGACTGTTCACAGTCTCCTATTTTTTCGTGAGATCGTAGATGTCGATCGTTGAGCTCGACGAGCTGCCATCTTGATCTCTTGATGCGAGCGAAACTGGAGAGAGTACAAAATGCCCGCGGGTAGGGGTGGTGGAGGGCACGGCTGGCGGAAAAAATAGAGAGACTGTAACAGCTTCACTCTGTCTCGTGTTCAAGGGGTGCGGCCGCTAGTTTGGCGCCTCCGTTAATCAAATCAATTAACAATCTCCTTCCCTGAGAAAAAACCTGTCAAATCAGGGATGATGATATGAATACATGTTATTGTGTAAGTGTTGTGAATTTCGAAACATTTTGAAGGTTTACTAAGTCCGCCCCGACACCCCCACGCTATTAACCCCACCGCCACTACCCACGGGCATTTTGTACTCTCCCCAGTTTCGCTCGCATAAATTATAATAATCACAACACTTTATTTATATAGCTCAATTTCCATTGCTGTTCAATAGAGCTGGTCTCTCACACCTGTTTAGTAAACTGGTCGACACAAGCCATTCTAATGCGCTCACTGGTAGCAGGACTGTCCAGTCTGAAGATCCCTTCAACACCTGACTCACGTCTGTAATGAGAAATAAATATTGATTAATTAACAAAATGAAGGCTTGAAAGTTAGAAATATTAGCGACAAAACGCGCGGGAAATCGTAATGGAAGCATACGTTGCACTATCCTACAACATAGTTACCGGCATTAGGCACCTGCCTACAAGTCATTTGATGATTGTATGAGTCAAGCAATAGATTGTTTTCACTGTCACGCAATAAAAAAGTAAATCGAAAACCATCCAGTGAAAAAAGCTATGAAATTATGATGTTATAGAAGATAACTAAATAAGCTACTTCTCCAAGTTTTAGGCCTGTGCGTTTCCCCAAACTTCAGATATTCGTCGAAATGTTTCGCCGATATTTACAGAGCCCAGTATGAAAACGCCATG